ATCAGGACCTCCTTCCTCCTGCTAGGGACCCCTCTAGTGATGCACCCCAGAATCTTATCCTCCTTCCCTCTTCCAGGTCACACTATTTGCACACTTTGCAATTATCTGTATGGGGGACCCCCAATCCCTTCTCCTCTGTCGGTTTGGACACCACATGACCCCGTATATTGGACTCTATCTGAGGAATATTTTCCCAAGTTTATTATTTTCCATTCACAGACATTGACTTGCAGTTTCCTCCTCTGTTACCCCTCCCCCTACATATATGGACCTATATTGGGGTTGCCACCTGTCCAGGATTCACCCGGGTTTTGAATGCTGTGCCCGGGTTGCATTGCAGCTGAAACCCGCACACAAGATGTCAGGCAGACAGTGGCAACCAATATTAAGCTAGGGGCTACTGCCCCCCCCCCCCCCCCATCCACTATGTTATTTACATATGAATAAGTCATCACTCATTCTGTCAAAACAAATTCCGTGTGTCGCTAGAGTGTTCGGGTTTTGCTGAAAGAAAAGGTGGCAACCCCAATCTATATACACTGGTGACACTGATCAGATTGCAACTTTCTATTTCCGGGACAGATGAGGATGGAGATATACAGAGAACACCGGGGAACGATTTATCTGCATTGTCTCTGCAGCAGTAAGAGGACATGTCTACGGCTCAGCTGGAAATGGGCCTCCATCTTTCCTGAGCCCTCAGAGGTATAAGGCTACAACAATATGGCGGCGGAGCAGACACATTTTCACCGTCTATAGCGGATGACGTGTCAGTGAGTAGAGGGGGCGGGGCGGAGACTGAAGCTTATCCGCTTACAGCGTCGAGGTAATTCACTGCGCATGCGTTCCGCCTTCTACCCGTCACACTGCGCATGCGTCATTCATGTCCGGCCTCAGATCCTGGGGATCACGTGACGGGGATGTCTGTGCACAGCTGACAGCGGTGAGAGTCCATCTACCCCCCACCCCATCCCTGGTGCCCCAAATTACCACCGTACTGACCCCTCCCAGGTATTATTGCCCCAGTTCCCTATACTGACCCCTCTCAGGTATTATTGCCCTAGTTCCCCATACTGAGCCCTCTATGTACCCCTCCCAGGTATTATTACCCCAGCACCCCATACTGACCCCTCTGTGTACACCTCCCAGGTATTATTACCCCCAGCACCCCATACTGGCCCCTCTGTGTACCCCTCCCAGGTATTATTACCCCCAGCACCCCATTCTGACCCCTCTGTGTTCCCCTCCCAGGTATTATTACCCCAGTTCCCCATACTGACCCCTCTGTGTACACCTCCCAGGTATTATTACCCCCAGCACCCCATACTGGCCCCTCTGTGTACCCCTCCCAGGTATTATTACCCCCAGCACCCCATACTGACCCCTCTGTGTACCCCTCCCAGGTATTATTACCCCCAGCACCCCATACTGACCCCTCTGTGTACCCCTCCCAGGTATTATT